AATTCACGTATTTTGTAGTAGTGTTACACATTTTTGTGATATTGTTACGCATTTTTTGATTCAAACATTTTTAACCACCAAATGTATAATATATTACAAAATGCATAATATTACCACAAAAATATGTAACTTCATATATGAACCATTAATTATCATAACTCTTATTAGAAAAATATGTAACATTTACTATAAAAATATACAATACAAACCATAAAAATACACCTATGTTTGGCAAGTGGGTTTGCAGGCTTTTTTGGCCATTTTAGCCACAAAAAACAAAATAGGCTATTTTAGCCATAACAAACAAAATATCACATCCAACCCATAATCATTACATTCTTCTCTCACAAAAAAACTCAAAAAAGTCAAAAAGCCAAAAAGCCCTTCCCAAACTAAGCTTTTAAGCCCAGGCTAAAATAGCCAAAAAAGTCAAAAAACTAAAAACCAACCCACTTTCCAAACGGAGGTATAATAAAGTATATATATAGTACATATTATTGGTGGAGGTGTAATATAGAATTTCCCTACTTTTCTATGCTTTCTTTAGCTTTCACGTCTAATCTCTTATGCTAAACTTTTTATGTACTAACTTTTTACTATATATTTGATGTCCTTTTGGATTGCCAAAAAATTTTTCAAAATTCCAAAATAGATCATAGAACACATACAATGGTGTGAATACAAATTAAACTTAATTCTATTTTGTGAAATCACATTTTTAAAATTTGTATATCTTCATGTGTTTTAAAACACGAGTTCAATTAATTTATTTTAAAAATTATAAAAATTATATTTTAAAAAAAAATATGATTTCAAATTTAAATTATGTTTACAAAATATGACTTAAAAAAAAGTCAATTTAAAAAATAGAAAAAATTACAAACAAATGGCATTTTATAAAATGTTTACAAATTGATTAAAAAAAACTTGTAATTTTAATTATTCAAATTAATACAAATTTTTATTGATTTATAATATTTTTTAAACATGCATTGGAGTGCAATTTTTCCTAAAAAATATTGAAAAGAAAAAGGATTTGATAAATAAAGGGATAATTACTATAAGGTCTCGGTGTCCCACATCGGGAATGGAAGGGGAGTTCCTACGCTATAAAAGTAAAAATCTAAACCCTTAAACAGTATCGAAGCCTTTTCCAGGGTGGTGCGATCCCTAGCAGAACTCTTCAGTTAAGCGTGATTAGGCTGAAATAGTTCTGGGATGGGTGACCCACTGGGAAGAACAAATCCGTGCAAGCGTGGCTCAAAACAGACAATATCGATGACATGTGAAGGGTTGGGACGTAACAGATACAGTAAAGTGGTGTCAAATAAAAATAGTTGCTCATTAATTAAAAAACTATAATTATAATTATTAATATTTATAATATTTATCATTAGGGTAAATTACACTGACACTCTCTGAGATTTGGTCCAATTACATTTCACCACTGACGTTTTGGAAATTTTATTCCCACCCCTGTGGTTAACAGTCTCATTTCACAAACTCTCTACTTATATAAAATGTAACAATTTCTAATAGAAAAATAAAATAAATTACATTGAAAAAAAATAAAGGAAAGGAAAGGGAAAAAAATAGATGAAATAAAACAAAGTAAGAAAAGAAAGAATACATTAGTGTAATGTTTTCATTTTGTTTAAATGATTATAATGTCAGGAGAATTAATGTAATTTTTTAAATATCAAAAATAATATATATTAAATCTAAGGCCTGGTTTGGGGTGTTTCAAAAAATTCAAAAAGACAAAAAGTTACAAAAAAAAAAAAAGTTCAAAAAGTTATCACTATTTACAAATTAAAAATATAAAAAAATTAATATATATAATATTTTAATACAAACTAACTTTACACCACTCTAGGTACTGACGTGAAAAGAAAGTACAATGAAAGGAATAAAAAAATTATATATATATTCACTAAGTTAGATGGTAATGTTGGGCTCGTGGGGGCCCACCACGGGTCCCGTTTTGATAATCCAAACCGTTGAATATGTAGAACTCGTCCAGTACTATATGTTTGTAAAAAATCACGTTGATCGGATATCGCTAACTACATGATCAAATTAGTTTTGTATAAAAATAGATGGTATTATAGTTAACAGTTGACAAAAAAAATTAACACGATCAGATAGCTATCGATATCCAATTAACGTGATTTTTATAAGCATATAAAACTCGACGAGTTCTACACATTGAACGGTTCCAATTAGTAAAACGAGACCTGTAGTGGGCCCCACGAGCCAAATAACACCGTCCAATTCGAATTCGAAAAGGAATCAATCATTTCCCATCTCCTAACCAGCCCACTACACTACCCAAAGTGTACGGGCTACTTCACTTAACTTCTCCTATACATTTATTTATATAATTTTTTAATACATATTTTTTCATAAAAAGTCAAAAAATTAACTCAAACATTTATCTTTTTTTTCTTAATTTTTTTGTTTAAAAAGATAAAAATATACTTATTTAAAACACCTTAAATGATCCATAAATTTCAAAAGATGTGAGTATAATTTATCCTCAATTTTTCTTACCTCCACTGTTATTTGCCCATAAATAAATGAGAGATATTCAGAAACAGCAAAGAGAATCTTATTTGAGATGAGAGGATGCAGAAATGTTAATTGTGGGTACTAGGAAATGAAAGTTCATCATAATATATATCATCCAACTGTCTATTCCATCCCATCCAGCCCAGACCAACGAAAAGTAATGAGAAAGTTCATCAATTCAAAACCCAGCAGACTGTTTCTTTTTTCACTGTTTGTTTGGATTGGATTGGACATTCAAATGAAAAATCTTTCACTAAAAGATTTTCCATTAATGGTTTGGGCTATGCGCTTCCTGTGATGCAAACCAATTTCAATAGCCTTCATCATTACCCCCAATTCATTTGCGGGTACTGTTACGGTGTGCAACCCTTTAAGGTTGCATACCATATGCAACCAATACAAAATGTGTAAATAGAAAGTATAAACATAAAATAGGACAGCAAACAAAAAAACGTAATTGTAAGGTATAAGTTGCACACTTAAGAAAAGTCCTTCATTTGTACCTCTTATATTTGTAAGGCTTTTTCTTTTTTGAAAAAATTTATGTTTGATTTGTGTTTTAAAATAAATTTAAAAAAAAAATTTTGAAGAAAGAGTTTAGGATTTTTTTTTAGTTTGTATGATTGTATATTTTAAAAATAATTTTGAAATTTAGGAGTTTTGGATAAATTGATATTTTGTTGTAGTTGAGTAGTATGAGAGAAAAAATGATTAAAGAGGAGAGAGAATAAAGAAAAAATGATTAATTAATGTGTAATAGAATAAAGTAATTTTAAATTTTTTTTGAGAAAATTTATAACTAAACATGTTTTTGAAAATTTTCTTTTAAATTTATGTTTGAAAACACAAACCAAACACACATATCAGTGATATTTTTTCAAAATAATTACAAATTCTTTATGATTTTAATTTGGGGTAATTTCACTCCACTGAAATTTTAGAGAAAAAAAAATTATATATTCATTAAAAATTTTAAAATTTTAATTATTAATATTTATCTAATTTCTTATTAATTTGTAATTATTTTTTAAAAAATTACACTGATTTGACATTTCCTTTTTAATTATTAAAATTTACTATTAATTTGAACTGTTTTTTTTTTTTTGTTTTTTCTAAACATACACTGCCTCTGTTTGGCAAGTTAGTTTTCAGGCTTTTTTGGCTATTTTAGCCACAAAAAACAAAATAGGCTATTTTAGTCATAACAAACAAAACATCACATCCAACTTATAATCATTACATTCTTCTCTCACAAAAAAAGTCAAAAAAGCCAAAAAGCCAAAAAGCCCTTCCCAAACCAAGCTTTTTAGCCCAGGCTAAAATAGCAAAAAAAGCCAAAAAACCAAAAAGCCAACCTACTTCCCAAACCAAGCCACTGTCTTGTTATTTTCCTTTCCCTTTCCTTTTCCCTTTCTTTCTTTCTTTCCCTTTTTTTTTATTATATTTCTTTTAATGATTGATTTATTATTAGCTAATTATAAATTACATTTTACACCATAAATTATAATTTATTTAAAATATTAATTACTTTCTGTGATTTTAAAATTACATTCACTCTTTTAAATTTCTAATTGCATAACAATTGACCCATTTCATTAATCAACCATTAAATTAATTAATAATTTTACAAATTTGATGAAAAGATAAACGCTCGCTTCATTTGATGAAAAAAATATCACTTCATTCATTTGATACCAAACTGATGAGACGGTTGGAGCACCGTTTCTATTAATTTTTCATTAAATTTAAATTTGATGAAAAATTAGAGATGGTCTTCATGGTGTTAGGATTGGAAACAGGCCGAGTCAAGCCGAACTTTTGAATGTTCAAACTTGTTTATTAAGAATAAGCGAAGAATTAGTCATGCTCGAGCTCGAGCAAGCTCTAGTCGAGCTTAAAAAATCGAACTTAAACTCGGCTCATCAAATATTTGTTGAACTCGAGTTCAGCTTGAGCTTGCTTGATTTTATAAACGAGCCGGGTTCGAGCTCGAACTTGAAAAAAAAATTAAATTTAAATTAATTTACTTATTAAGATAATAATTAAAAAAATAAAATTATGAATAAAATATATAACAATGCTTATATTAATAATAAATTTCATCAATTAAATATGTAAATTTACACAAATACCAACCATAAATAAAAAATAAAATAAATTATTAAAAAATTATTTAATATATTATTAAAAATATATATTAATTTACTTATTTTTATGTTCACGAGCCGTGTTGAGCCAAGCTTATGGTTACTCAAGCTCGGCTCGATTAATAAACGAGCTTAAAAATCGAGTTTGAGCTCGTTCATTTAGTAAACGAGTCAAGTTCAAATGAGCTTTAAACGAGCCAAGCTCGAGCTGTTCATACACAGTTTGGTTTGTTTACAACCCTAAATGGTGTTCAACAATTCATAAGGATTTAACAACAATGATGCAGTAGGAAAGTTAGTAGCTTATATACAATATTTATAACTTCAACAAAAAATGCTT